CCCATCTAGATGGGGGGTGGGGAGGGATTGTCCTGGCTGCCTCATAGCTCTATGTGTTGGGGGGAGTTTGACAGAAAGAGAGACCTGGCTGGATGCCACCTAGATGTAGGGGGACCCTAATGGAGTAGGCTGTGACCATCTACTCTAAAATCCCCCCATCTGTCTGCTTTTCCCCACACTGCTCAGTTAAGTCCCATTCCCTGCCCTTCAGTCTCTGCTGGGCATCATGGGGACAGGACCACTCCCTGGTATGATTCTGCTGGCACTGTGCCAGGCCCGCCAGCTGCCAGAAGCCCCTCGGGCACTGGTGGTGGCAGAAGGGCGTGTAAACTGGTGAGTCAACTGGTTCCAGGTGAGGTTGCCCAAGTGAGCAAAGCATTTGCCACAGTCAGCACACCTGTACATCCGATCCCTGCCATGAATGCACTGGTGTATTCTCAGGTATTGGCTCTGTGCAAAGATTTTTCTGCAGACAGTGCATTGGAATGGCCGTTCCTTGGTGTGTGTGCGCTGATGTCTTCAGAGGTTTGAGCTGCGTGCAAAGCCCTTGCCACAGTCAGCGCAGCGATTCGGCTACTCCCCGGTTGTGCATGCACTGGAGCTGGGTGAGCTTGTTGGCATTGCTGAACCTGTTACAACAGTTGGCACAGCGATACAGCTGCTCCCCGGTGTGTGTGTGCACTGATGTCTTCAGAGGTTTGAGCTGCGTGCAAAGCCCTTGCCACAGTCAGTGCAGCGGTGCGGCCTCTCCCCGGTGTGCGGGCGCTGATGTATTCTCAGATTTGAGCTCTCTGCAAAGCTCTTGCCACAGTGTGTGCAGCGATACGGCCGCTCCCCGGCGTGCCTGCGCTGATGTGTTCTCAGGGCTGAGTTCTTTGCAAAGCTCTTGCCACAGTCAGCGCAGCAGTACGGCCGCTCCCCGGTGCGCGTGCGCCGGTGCTGCGTCAGTGCAAAGGGGTTCCTGAACCTCTTGTCGCAGTCGACGCAGTGATGGGGACCTTGGCTCATGGGGAGTCTCTGGTGTGTAGCCAGGTCTGGTCTCTGGCTGAGTTTACCCCAGGGATGGACGGTGTTCTGTGCATGGATTCCCCTGTGGGATATGGGATCCTGCGTTCCTGCCATGTTCTCCCCACATTCAGACCGTGTCCTTGTTCTTCCCGGTACCCCGTGCCCTGCTGGAGAGAGCAGAGACAATCCCGGTGTTAGCTCATGTTTAGGGCTGCAGGTTTGCCAAGGATGGAAAATGTCACAGATGGA